CAAAGTTCTTTTCTGTGACCTCCACACCAACCCCAAAGGCTCAACCTCATTCTCCAATAACTTAAACACCAAAATGCAAATATAAACCCCACAATCCCTAATGTTAGCTTGTTCACTCACCTCAGGCCTCTACACACTGCAAATCCCTTTTCTGGCTTCCAGCTTCCCTGCAGCCTCTCTTGCAAGCACGATCTCTTCTCCATCAGGGGACCATGGCCTAACCACCTCTGTTAGCCCAGGGCTTAGCTTTTATCCTCCTGAACTCCCATTTCTGGTTACATGGTCCCCTTAGCTCCCTAGCTGAGCCCAGGTGTCCCCTTGGATAGGATCAATTGGCAGGCTGGCTATGTGGGCTGTATTTTGCCCGCCCCTTACTTAGAAAGACTGTGACGAGTCTGGAAAAAAACCCTGAAATCTGCACTGAATCAGTGTTTCAACTTGTAACTAAATTTTTAGGCAATTTTATCAGACACAAAAAGGCATGTCCAGGTCACCTAACCAAAGTATAGATGTAAGAGCATTTGTCTTAATATTGTAAAAGAATAATACATTCTTCGGTCTTTTTTCTTGCAAAAAATCTTGAAAAGATGAAGCAATACACACTAGTCTTTACAGCTGAAAGCTTAGGGCTTTTGAAACTTTAAGGTTCACATGTCAAGCTCTTGTTTGCAATCAGTGAGGCCAGAAGATTACATTTTCTTTTATTTTTCAAATACACAGACTCTCCATCATTATGCTTCTTCAGAGCATGAAGAAAAAGCCTTCAAGCACTAATACAGCTAACCTGCCAGAACATGATAAAGCAGTGATTTCCAATTTTCAATTTCTTCCATCTCTGGCTGCAGCTATAGTGGGACAGACCATTATTCCAGAAGCAGGTTCACTGGGCATATTTCTGGCACTGAGAACAAACTGTACATTTGTTCCTGTGCAAAAATGTGCATTATTACTTCAAAACATTGCCTTGGGCCTAGAAAGTCCATGATTCTTCATTTTAATGATCTGTGTATTGGCCAAGCAGTTCTTTACATATTTATAACTTTGAACAAACAAGCTCATTTATTAATCTTGCACGTTGCACACTTAATCAGTAAGAACAGTACTAAACCGTAAACGCACATTTTGGCATGGTTTAAATACAAAACCAAACAGGGAGGTTCCTATAGAAAGAAAAAGCATTTGCAGTTACAGAGACAAAATAGCTGGTATAAGCTCTCAAGTACTTTCAAAACATAGTTGACTAAAAGGCAGCCAATCCTGCAACTCCTGTAGGACCTACAGTAGGCACCTTAAAAATAGGCTTCAGGGAGTTGTGCTGGTCATGGAGAGTAAAGATCAGGAAAGCCTAGTCCTGATTGGTGGAACTGGGACCCACTACATGACCATGAGGTATTCCTTTGCATCTTTGAATATGTAGCCAGTACTGTCAGCTAATAGGAATCAGCTTTGGTGGCCAGGGTGATATTGTTTTTAAAGGGAGGGGTCCGGGCAATGGGCAACATACTGGTGATAAGCAGGCTGCCTTGCATCCTAAGACAAAAAAAAAAGCCATTTTAGATAGATTAGGGCTTGTTCTGGATGGACATCATCACTGATTTGGGGTTGAGCCATTTCCACTAGGGAGTGTACATGTTTGCACTTCACAATGACTGCAGGAACCTGCTACTTGTTGATTGTGTCTTAGAGATTAACTCCCTGAAGAGGATGAAGGACCTGGTGATTATAGACAAGTCTTCCAGGTCCTTCCTGCAGAAACTGGCTATTGGGTAAGGTGGCATCTGTGGGGGAGGTAGTGGAGAGAGTAAGGACACCTACGATGCACTTGAGAGTGCTGAGCAATATGCTATACTGGGGATTTCTCAATGGGAAGGCAAGAAGAGGTGAAGTCTGTAAAAGTAGGGTCACAGTCCCAGAAGGAAAGAAGAGGTGTCCCAGGCTGAAGGAAACTCTCAAGAGGAGAGTTCTGGAGAGCAGTAGATAGAGGGCTTCAGCAAGGTTATCAGCTGCCTGTCTTTTTTACAACTAAGAGGAAATTTGGTAGTATGTTACCATGGAAACTTTGGGCACATCAAGAAGAATACCCATTAAAAGATTGCAATTATGGGGAGTGCCTTTTCCTCCAAAGGAGGATGGTAAAATTCTTTCTTAAGTGTTCATTCCCTATATGCCATCCACGGTATGTCATATCATCCCAGGGAAAAGAGTACTCTGAGATACACTTCACATATGAGAAGGTAGATAAAGATGTACCTTCTTGACTTAGTAAGTGTGTGATGGCCCTAACAACTGTGAAACTCTGTGAATAAGGGAAGTAACTTCCAGGATACAGAACCAAAATTGGGGAAACATATAACTTGGTAATGTATCTGAGGCTCACATATTAACTAAAGTTAGCCAGATGAGAAGAGAATGCTCTGTTCTGGCCTGAGTATACGAAAGTGGGATTGGATCCAAAGACCACAGAGGAGCTAGAAGGATGTACCCTTTGAAGATAAGATTATTCACACTAAATATAGAAAAGGAGCAAATGGTCCATATCAGGGTGAAAAGCAATCTGGGAGCCCTTCTTGCTAAGGAGGAAGGCTTGCAATATCTGCACTTAAATTTCTTATAGAATAGTAGAAAAGAATGAGATGTTGGAGGTTGAGGTATCAGCCATATAATGAAAAGAAACTATGCTATGGTGGCGATACCAATTTTAGAACATGCCCTGGAGTAGCCTGCTCCTTTAAGAGTCAAGAACCTTGGGCTATCCTTATACAGTTGTCCAACCTGGTTAGTAAGTAGGCCTGTGCGAAGTGGCTAGTATTTGCTTTGGATTTGGATTTAGCCGATTCGGGGGACAGCAATTCGATTTGGTCCCCTCCCCCCGAGCCACTGTGGACTGCCCAAATCATCAAAGCTCTCCAAATCTATTCATAGATTTCATAGACATTAGGGCTGGAAGGGACCTCAGAACATCGTTGAGTCCAGCCCCCTGCCCCAGG